CCCACTAGGCCCTGCCCCTCCGCCCAGACTCCTGGTTGCTAAGGTGCCTGGGCTGCCCGCAGGGTGGGCAGGCACCAGCTGCTGTCTTCCCAGGAAACGCGGGCCAAGAGAAGAGAAGCCTAGATGAAGCACCCTTCCCCAGTCCGGTGCCTCCCAGAGCGTCCCGCCAACAGATTCGCAGTCCAGGACGTCTGGAGGGCAGAAGGTGGTGGGAGTCTTCTCTGAGGTCCTTCTCTGCTTTGCCCCTTTCTGCAGCACATTCTCTGCTGACATCGATTGAAAGAACGTCCAAGCCTAGCGTTAGACTGTGAATGATGGTAACTCAACACATTGGGATTGGTGTGCCAGACGGGGGGCCACAGATTCTAACTCTGAGAACATCTCAGCCACGGTGTCCCATCAGGCGCAGCTTCAGCCAGAATGACAAAGCACAGCTTCCCTCCAACACAAAGACCCACAACTCTCCATGCCAATGTCCTTGTGTCTTCTGGCAATGGAGGCAAGAGGAGGTGCCCTCCCAGCTCAGGGCTTCGGAAGGCCTGACCCTCTGTCCAGCACCAACCTTGCAGTGAGGGAGGGGGAGGAACAAATGGCCCAGAACAAAGACCAGGCCTCATGGAGCAGCCCTCCCCCAGCGACACAGATGGCCCTGACCCCGTGGCCTTCAGGACACCAGTGACGACCTATCCTACCCGCCCAGAGATCGTGGCCAGGATGGTGATGGTAGCGGCACAGGGTGATTGGCAGATGGGTGTAAGTTTTTATTGGAGCCTCAACAGAGTTTGACTTAAATGGTGGCTTTTAATGCATTATTTTTACTTTGTCCACCACCCAGAGTTCCTTTTGGTAGATGGGCAGCTATATATATTTAATAAATAAATAAATAAATAAATCATGCAGACCCACAAACTCATTCCCTCTCTTTAGAGTAGTCTGGTGTGTTATGAGACCATATTGCAAAGCATAATAGAAAACTGCTGTTAAGTACAAATGGGGTGACTCCTGCTTCTTCTTCTGTGCACTCGTACGTCCTCCATTCTACCTGTCCTAGGATACTTCTCCTGGGAGGGTCTCCAACTGTTGCGCTCAGTTTCATCTCCTCCTTGCCAACCCTACTGGTATTGCTGGGCTCCACAAAGCGTTTCAGCAGATGCCTCTTTTGTCATGCTACTTCCACTTGTGTGTTTTTATTATATACTGCTACACACACACACACACAACCCTGTGAGGTGGGTTATCATGGTCATTCTAACTTCCAGTTGTCAGAATCCTCACAATCAACTGACCACCTTACTTGCCAGCTTGCTTGCTTGGGTTCAGAGACGGGGGGGGGGGG